GTGCGTGTCTCTCTCTCTCTCACGTCTCCTCTCTAGACCCTGTGAAATACAGTCACAGCAAAATTAACAAGTTGCAATTGAGCCATTGACTCATATTTGTTATTTAAAAGTTTGTAATTAAAAATTATATGCCTTTAATTTAAAATGGAAACATTTATATCAATATATATTTTTTGTATACAATACACACACACTTTAAGCAAACATCCACCTTCACAAGAGTTCAATTTTGCCATATTTGGCTTTTCTGTTCTGCTTCTCTGGGCTGCCGTGAACTCCTAACAGCCTGACTGTCAGAACCTTACAGAAAATCAGGGCAATTAGGCTGTTCAGATGAACGCTCTTGTGCCAGTAATTTCACTTTTTAATCTGCTGTTGGACTCGCTCTTTTACTTCCATTCTCTCTCCTTATGAGCTGTTATTCATGCCCCTCTGCCCACTGACTGACTGTGCCCCATTCAGTGGAGCATTTCTCCCATTTGTAACCTTCTGCCTTCACCAAGTTCTGATCATCAAATGGTGCTCCCAGACCAAAATGTTACCCTTTTTCCTTCTCTGCACTGTCACCTGAAACAGCCTAAGCAATGATGTGTGGATGGAAAAAAATCAGGGCCGTGGCTTTTCTCCTCTGTCTCAGAAGAATGGACCATGTAGAAGAAATGACTCAGGACCCTGAGCAGGATCTAAATCTGGCACCACTTCTAAACTGCCTTCATTAACCATAGTCACAGATTTGCTGTATTTACCATCAAGAGAACTACTTTCTATTGCCATATGGGAATCTTGACAATACTATATGAAAGGCCTTTTACTAAGATAAATGGAAAATATACAAGTGTTATTCCAAGTATTTGTTAGAGACCAAGCACTTCATGCTGCGAGATCTCAATCCATCCTTGGACAGACTCTAGCATCAGTGTTGTGCTATCTTACGATTCACAAAAACACAAGACTTCAAAGATTTAGTGTAATTAAATAGAGATAACAAATGTACACACTGATGCATGAGAATCTACAGTGTCTTCCCATATAGCTCTTTTTTTTTTCTTTCTGATTACACAATCCTGTTTCACAGACACTGCATTGTATTGCATCAATGTACCTTGTAAAGGCCTTAAAAGTGATGGCTGCATTTCAGCCGCCAGATCCAAGCCATAATGATTCAGGACATGAAGACCTGAAATCCATCAGATGCAAAGACCTGGCATTTAAATGTACTTATTCATCCAAAATCCAGGGCTTTCCTTTTTCTCATTTTCTGCTAACCAGTCACAAACATTAAGGGAACACGCAAATGCAGAATCATATTCTGTAACTCACACTGACATACTTTTGAGCCTCCTCTTGATGCAAGCAGCACTGTTGGCACTGTCGCTGAGCCAGCCTCCAAACTTGAAAGTGAGGACCACAGTGGGAAAAGGAGATGAAGAAAAGCTAGAAGGTAGTTTAGTTCTTGGGGAGTAAAGAAACTTACTTTCCATCTGCCAGCTACGCTGGAGATCTGAGCTACAAAAACTATGAGCCTGCAGTGAGCTCTGTAGCTCAGGACATACATTGAAGCATCGGTAATGCCCACCCGAGCAAGAGGCCTCCTCCCTCATACCATCTTCTACTGAAAAGGGAGAAACGGGTGTCATGTCTTCCCCGCAGCGGCAGGAACAGCTGGCTGGCAGCCAGCTGAGCTGTGGAGCCGAACCATAGGGAAGCTTGCCTGAGGTCTTGCTCTTCTGCAGCCCGCGTTGTTCAAGGGTCGGGCTCACCTGTACCACGAGAAGGTACCCGTGGGTGGACTCCCTTTAGGTCTGCTGCCGGACGGTCCGTGCTCCACCGGCCCTGCCTGCTGGGAAAGCTGTGCTGGGACTCCACCTGCCGGTGTCACAGCTCCTGGCACATGGCAGGGGAGCTAGGTTGGTGCGGGCAAGCACCACTCGCTCGGGAGGCATCTCCTCGCTGCATACAAAGCAGCAGCTAACTCTGAGAAAGCACGCAGGACTGGAAGCCAGCCATGCAGGTCACAGTGTCATATTCAAAAGCGTTTCTGACTTATCCTGGCTTCACCTCATCAGTAACACAACTCAAGATCTTAGAGCTCTTACTCTGGTTTCGCAACTCGGAACACCTCAAAGAAAACAACGATCAAACAGGCACTTTTGCTTCTCTCCAGATCTTCCTCTGCTGCCTGGGCTGTGAGCACTCACATTGACTGCCATGCTCTTTATCAGTTCATTTGCAGAGGAAAAGGCTGTTTTCACTGGGTAGTGGAATAAACCACAGAGGCTAAAAATGGTCAGGAGCATATTAAAGTGGGTCAAATACTCTAGTTCATGCCAAAAACAAGCTGAAGGATCTAGAAAAGAGGGGAAACACTGACCTTCTCCCCACTTTTTGGCTGTAACACTGGGAGCCCGGGAGTTCTAAATCTAGATAGAAATTTCTTGCTTCTACAGAGGTGAAGTTTGATCTCATCTGCAGGACTTGAATCCAGACTTTCGGGTCAGGCTGTTTTCTAGTCATTAGGACAGTTCTCACTTTGCAGTTTACAGAAGCTGTTGGTACTGTCACTTGCATTTTTTTCCCTTTTTAGGGAAAAAAAAAAATCTTGTTTCTTCTTCTTTAAGTATTAAAGTGACATTTCTGACAGAAAAATGAAGTTTGAGGAGAAAGGCAAGAATCAGAATTGGATTTTATAGTACTTTAAAAAAAAAAAAGTATGAATCCTGAATAATAACTACTCTGCAACCATGTAAATACTTGCAGTGGAGGCCATTTTTATATACGTTCTGTGTAGAACTGAGCCATTGCTTAAATACGTTTTTAAGCCATGGCGATATAAAGCTATCTATTCAGCTTGTTTCTTTACTTAGATCCTCATGGTGAAGATTCCTTCCAGAAACATGGGGTTCACCTGGTTCGAAATCTACATTCCCATCTTCATTAGTCCCTTAATTACTTGGCTGAATTATACTGTTCAGAAAAAAGTTACCTCTGCACACACTGAGGAAGAGTACAAAAATGAGTAACGTCCTCTTTGGCGTGCAGAATACTGTCTGCTGTGCTAGCGCTTTAAAAGAGAAAGCTGATTTTCTGTCTGCTCCAAACTCCTCTCCACAAAGGTATTCCTGCAGGGAGGTATTCCTGGAACAAAGCTTCCTACATGTTCCAAAGCTGTGAAATTTTAGGAGGCTCCTGGAGAGTTAATGTAAGAGAGGGCATCTCTGTCTTCTACTGCCTGCTCTGTGAGACAAGGCCATAATTATTCCTTTATGATTGCAATATTAAATGATTCCTTTTTGCCTAACTACACTTCTTTTCAGTGTTAATGGGAAAAGCCATTCCTTTCCTAACATAAAAACAGCTGGATGAAGGCATGTGGTCAGAAGCCACAGAGTCATCTCTCTGGGAAACAAAGGTAGGCTCTCGCAAAATGTCATGGAAAGGCCAGCTGTTACAGTCACCACCTCAGCCGTAATGGTGGTAGTAGTAATGGTGTTCACACAAGTTGTAGTTTTGACTTGTGTGTTGATCCTATAGTGGCATCCCAAGTTGATGTGCGAAAAACACTTCTACGCCCCAACCTAACATCGTGTGGACAAGCTGCAACCTCAGGACCAAGTTCCTCTACTAATTAACCCTCTCTGGCAGAGACAAGAGCTTTGTCTTGGCTGTGATATTGTTAGTGCACCAGCAAACAGTCCTGCTTGAACCTGGGGAAACTGATGCAAGCTTCACAAACTCATGAAGAGCCGTATAGATCTCCTTCTGTTTCATATATGCATGCTGACAGCTGACGGTTGCGTACAGACATCCTCAGCTTCCGAAACATGAGGTCCCTACCATGAGCTGACCCCTATTACTGGACCAGATGGCCAGCTTTTCTCATCTGCAATTCCTCTTGTTTTCTGACAGCTTTTAGTAGGTCAGGTGCCAGATAATATTTCTGCAATGTGTTCAGGATCACCTTGAAAACAGCAGTGTCCAGCAGAAGCAAAGCATTCACAAATCTGGCTGTAACACTTAGATGCCAAACTGGGAGTTTGGATCCCTAGAAAATACAAACCATTCTGGCAAGAGCCGTGCTTCTAAAAACATTCAGCAGAACCTTAATGGTAAGAGCTCAGCAGTTGCTCCTTGATTGTATTTTACTAGCAGGTACCAAATATATCTTTTCCCTCTCCTACTTCAAGCACTGCTTAAAGCAGTTGTCATTATGTTGTTTCTAGAC